CTAGGTAGGTGCAGCTTGAGCATTCGGTGATGTTCGTCCCGTTGAGCATGAAAGGAGCATCAGGCACTCTTCCGTTCCTCATGAACATCGTCTTCGTTTGATTCAGCCGTAGACCGATCTTTCCACACACTTCGTCAAACTGGGCCAGCATCTGTTCCGCCTGCGTGATGCTTGGTGTTATCAATACGATGTCATCAGCAAAGCGAAGGTGGTGTAGCTGCCGACCGTCGACTTTCACTCCCATGTTGTCCCACCAACTTACGCATGACGTTCTCCAGAGCGGCACTGAATAGTTTTGGCGATATAGTATCGCCTTGTCGCACGCCTCTCTTCACGTCAATGATGATGTCCTTGTAGAATGGTGTTATGGTGGTTGTGAAGTCGTTATACAGCTCACGAATTATCTTGATGTAATGAGTCGGAATACCTTGATTGCTCAAGGCATCGATGACGGCTTCAGTCTCAACCGAGTCAAAGGCCTTCTTCAAGTCGATGAAGGTGAGACAGAGCGGCATCTTATACTCTCGTGACACTTCAATGAGCCTTGACACCGTGTGTATGTGGTCGATCGTGCTGAATCCTCTTCGAAACCCAGCTTGCTCGCATGGTTGTCCTTCGTCCAACTCTCTTCCGATCCTGTTGAGAATGACTCGCGTAAAGAGTTTGTAGACTACAGACAACAAGCAGATAGGGCGATAATTGCCGATGTCGCAGGGATCTCCCTTCTTGTACAGCAACACGGTTTTGCTGGTCTTCCATTGCCTTGGAACCTTGCCTTCCGTCAGGTACCGCGTGAAGAGCCTTGCCAAAGTCTTGATGAGAACTGGCGAAAGATTCTTCAGATGTTCTGGCTTAATCCTGTCGGGACCGGGTGCTGTACGGTTTTTCATCGACATGATAGCATGACGAATCTCGGAAGGAAGAACAGACGGTGCGACATACTCGTCCTCCTTGAGATGGCATGGTGGAAGGTGGACGTGGCTCGCAAAAAGATCCGAGTAGAAGTCGTGGATGACCTTCTCCATCTTCGGGAAGCAGTTATGGTTCCGTCAGGACGACGAAGTGCGGTCATCTTTGTCTTGAAGTTGACGAAGCTTCGGCGGGCGTTGCGTATACTTCTTCCAGCCTCCGCGGCGTCAACCATCACTGCTACTCTTCTCTCCTTAAGGTCTTCTTTTATCGCTTCTCTGCATCGCTTCGCAAGCTCGGACGTCAGTCGGTAGTTGCCTGTGGCTCGTGCGCGTCCACGTTGGCGTATCAGCTCCAAAGTCCCCGTGGTGAGACGCCTTCTCGTACTTCTTAGACTCTGAGCTTCCTTGGCACAACCGTGGAGATGTTGTACGAACCGTTCGTATTCTTCGTCGATGTTGTCCATCACGGTATCTCGCCATGAGCCGGATATCGAAGAAAACAGATCCCAGTTGATGGTATTCATGGGACGATGTTTCCTGAACTTGACGGCTCTCTCTCCATTCCGCGGAAAGTAGAATTTGGCGCGCGGGAGACGATGATCCGATCCCGTGTAGAACTTCGGAACAACAGCGACGTCCGTCAGGCAGTACCTTCTGTTGACGATGATGTGGTCAATCTCGTTATGGTACTCTCCACCGGGCGATTCCCAGGTCCAGCGTAGGGAAGAGGGCTTTTGGAACTGTGAGTTTCCATGGATAGTCCTCGTCGTCATGATAAACTCGAACAGTCTCTCCCCTTGTTCGTTCCACTGCAAACCATGGGTTCCGATGTGAAGTTCCTCAGTCGACCTTCTAGTTCCGATCTTCGCGTTGAAATCACCGACGATGATCTTGTAGAAGGTATGATCTTCTCTGTAGAACTTCTCCAAGTCCATATAAAATTCCTCGAGTTCGTCCTCGTCGTAGCTGGATGTTGGGGCGTACGCAATGAAGACGGTCAAGGCAGGAATTGATCCACATCTCGATATTCGCAAACGTCCGATTCGAGTTGTAAGTTGTTCGAACGAATCGATGTTCATGGCCAAACTCGTGTTGACAAGGACTCCCACTCCACCTACTCCTCGACTGTCGCATGTTTCTAGAAACAGTTCTTCTCCAGTCTCAAATGTGGCGTTCAGCGGGTGGTGCCTCCTTGTCTCGGTCAGTCCGATGACGTCGTACTTAATCTTCCTTGCTTGCATCATGAGATCTTCGATAGATGCGTCCGATGCCAGCGTCCTCGCGTTGTAAGTACAGATCGTCATCATAGTCCGTCTCGTTTTCGGCAGCCTAGATCGCCTTTCAAACCTTGTCCCCACTGGCGCTGGCGCTGCCTTACCAGTGGCTCTTCCAAGATTAAAGGAGCTTTCCATATTATCACTGTGTCGAACAAGAATTTACTCGCAGGGATAGCTTGTTGGGCTCAAAATCCCCGCGAGGGACGATCGGAGCTTATTTGTTGGAGGCGACTCCGAACTCGCCTCCCCACACACCTACCCGGGAAATTAGGGCGCAAGCTTTTAGTGGAGGCAGGGAGTCCGTCCCCCGGCTCCGCTTGCTTATCAGAGCAGGCGCGGGGTCGCTTTTGGTCGGCGATTATCCCCCTATCCGCCACCTGGGGACGCCCCACGTAGCCTCGCGACTAACCGGCTGTGATCCCTCTATGAGGGAGATCCGTGGTTATGACTATCATTTGAAATAAACAAGGGCTTAACCCCTCAAACCAGCTTCTTCTTAAAGCAGAATGACTTTTGATGCTTTTGAAAGCAAAAAATGCAGTAATGCTTCTATTTGAGTAGGATGACAGACCGTAGGTGTTGCAAATGTTTCATATTTTAGGATGTAATTGTACAAAAAAATTTAAGAGCCAGGGAATGCAAAAGTGATTAGAATAACCAGGTGGCTTTATAATTTGTCCAGCTTTCGTTAGGGGCTTTTTCAAATTTTTTTCGTTTTTCTCCATTCAAATTTAACAAGACTGGAAGCGTTTTGAAGGGTCATGGAAGGTTGACATGCGCAAAATACAGCAAAGTTTCAGACAGATTCATTGAAAAGAACGCAAATTACGACGATGTCTAGAGTGGCTTTATAATTATGTTCAGTACTGTATATTTTCTATGTTGTTTCTCGGGATTTTTGTTGATGTTTTTTCTCACTATTCGATATGTGTGCGGTCATTCGTACTTCGTACATTTTCGTGATGCACCAAGCAATAGCCATGAAATTGGATACAACAAGGTTAAATAGTACCCTAATTTCACGCGGACAAGGCGCGGGGTGGTCCTAGCTTTCATCGACCAGTCCGAACACGGCAAAGGACTTCGCAACCAAAGGAACCCCATACCGTGCTGCTTTTGCCTGACGCATCGTGCGGCATAAGGATCGCTTCTTAAAGGCACCGTCCACCCTATGTTGAGGGTGTTGAGCTTTTGGCAGCATATAATAGTAGGGCCCCCGATCAATCCAATGCCCAAGTCCCAAGTCAAAATGCCGCTTCGGAAGCGAGAAAATCGCTTCGGAATAGCAGAGATGCACGAGGACCCCGATCCATGCCCGCCCTCCCCCATCCATGCCCGCCCATTTGTGCGCGCCCGCCCAATCACCGTTCCGGAAAGGCGGCCCGTGGGTTCTCCGAAATGGGGATTGTCGGGGTTTTCGCGCATTCTCGATTACATATTCGGAATCAGGGACATGAGAAGGCCCTGAAACGTCAAAAACGTGGAAGTCGAAAATCTGGGTGGACGGTGCCTTTAAAACACGTTGGGGCAGCAGCTCGATGAAAGCTAGGACCACCCCGCGCCTTGTACGCGTGAAATTAGGGTATAACAAACATACAACATGCATCGAGCATGGGAAAGTACACAAGAATAATTTTGTACGAAAGGTGAAGCATGCACATCATAAAGGCGCCGTGCCTTTGGTCGTGGGAGACCCTGACGGCACTTCTGATTAGGAAAATGTAGCGCTCTAAATTTCTCGCTCTTACGTCGTTTGCAGCCCTTGCTGATTGTCGTTCTGCGGGCGACGTCGTTCTATTCTCTAGCACTAAACGAAGGAGAAGGAACAGTGGACTGCTAATTCATGATGAAGACTCAGTTTATAAGGAATAGCCTCAGCGAGGGAATATGCAAAAATGGAAATGCGTTACCCAGACGGCTTCTTATGTGTATTTTGGACTTCGATCAACATGGAAAACCATTTGAGAGAAGAACTTAGTAGTAAAAGAAGAGCAGCCTGGGTCGACTTCGGGCCTCTGAAGGAGGCCACCAACCAACTGACGGACTCGGAGCTTCGAATCCACCTTTTCTATCCAACCATTTTTCCGACACTCTTCACGCAGCTGAGATGGGCGACTGCAGCCACGTCAAAGGCTCCACGGACCCCTCACAGAACGCTTCAGCGCATTCTTCTGTTTGCTCGTCGATATCGTACCACGGATATGAGAAAAATGTCTCGTCTTCGTAATGTGGCGGAATATGTGCCTTGCGAAAGCTGATCACCGATAGGCCCACATTATAAGGAGAAAGCGCCGCAGAGAGACAAGAACATGTGGAGCTATCAAATAAAAACCTTTGTGCTAAGACCTGCACGACATATAAGGCAGGCGATCTAAGTTAAATAATGAAAGTACAAAACGGGCAAAAGCTGTGAAATAACACAAACTTTTCTTTCTTATCCTCGTTTGTTAATAGTCCCCTCATTGCTGTTCGCAAAGTAAGAAAGGATAATGTCGATGCTAATATCGTCCAGCTTTTGATGCCGCGTGCTATATACCGCACCTAAACTTTTGTCCATTAATGGTTTGTACCTAAATCACAGGCTTTTTTTAGATAATTTGAGTTATGTCTGAAATAAGTCCGATTTGCGTAATCCTGAAACTCGCGCATTCTTGGAGCGGCTTCCTAATGTCCTTGAATCCCCATTGCGCTGCATACATTGACGTGGTTCAGTGTGTGTAGTGCAAAACAAAAGGATTCATCTAATATGATATAATTTATTCTAGCACAGTAAATGAGTTAAAAAGCAATAATATCATTTATTCAGTTGCAAATGCATCGCGGGGACGTCTGGTACACTCTGCGAATATGTAAACGACTACTGTGAAGCCTTTGGTACTTTTTCCTTTTTACAATAAAACAACCTATTTTTTTATCCCAGGTAATAGGATCTGCATTCATGGTAGCTGTTATGAAGATCCCACCTCAACTAGGCAGTTTTCTTGCCATTGCCGATTGTTCTTTTATGGCAGAAACTGTGAACATCAACGAACTGTGCTTGAGGCGAATGTGATGTTTGTCGTCGTAAGTATCATATGCGTCCAAGGAGATTTCAAATGTAGCTTCGCAGGAAAACTCTCACATCGTTGTACCTATAGCTTCCGTTATCAGCACAATTTTTATCTTATTCATGGTCTACTTTGCCTGTCTGAACCGAAGGTAGCTATCAAGTTATTCTTGATTCATCGCAGAATAGATCACTGCAGGAAATTGCCTGAAGAAAGAAAAGCTGTTGAACATCCGCTTAGTATTAGAGAGAGGAAGATTAAAGTTGCACTTGAGCAAAATAAGAATATCATAAGAAGAAAAGTAAGTATAGCAACGGAAAATCAAAAAACCTTGATAAGAGCAAACTTATGCACAGTTTTGGCGATGAACGAGGTGAAGAATAAGAAAGTTGAATTTTCTTAGAATTGCTTAGTAGACAATAGCTTTGAGCAACCCTAAAGGATAAGTTCATATGCACTAGATCATGCAAGAAACCAACTAGCGTAATCTGACTGTAATGTACAAGTATAGTCAAAGTAAAGGCTGCTATGCTTTATAACAACAGTTTCTCGGGGTTTTTTTGCTCTTTTCTGAACAATCCAGCATATGCACATAGTTTGCTGAAGCAAATTCTGGATATTTTCCCTTTGATTTTGATTTTTCTCAAATCGTAGTCTGCGATATTACTTGGCAATAGTAATGATTTCAGAAAGACTACAATCGCCTGATGGCACTCACTGCTAAGTTGAAACGAAAAAGCAAAGTGGAATTGGGTGCCGTGACTGCTATCTAGCTTCTGAAAATTGTTTGGAGGAAAACGACGTTTCAAGCTTGAAATTTAGGAATTCTTTATGTATGTGCTAAGTGTTATATGCGTCACAAATTACACTTAATGATTTAATATATTATCCCGTAAATATATTCTTTCATGCTACATAAAATTTAGTGGTAAAAACTTAATTTGTTCAAAAAATCGATAACTTTGAATTTGTGTTGAAGCTTTAAAAATCTGGAAAACTCAGTAAGTAGCTCCCGAGATGTATTACACTGTAATCAAAAGCTTTGAAGTTTGACAGTACTTCCTGAAAAAAGGTAATCTGTCTCAAGATGGTTAACAATATCATCGACTACCAAGAGGCTGTCCTGTTACGGAGCGAAGAGCCACACACACAGCCACACAGAATCACAGCTAATTTTTGTCTTGAGGGACGTCGCTTGCCTGATGTTGCCTCAGTATTTCGAACTTTTTGAAGAATTTTTGGTGCAAGATCATGCATACTATTTTTTTATGTAAGCCTTGTATGGATATTATGAGCTATCGTTCAAAAATTTGTATCGCAAACTCACCACCAATTATTGACAGAAGTGGGCACCAGCCTAGAATTTTCACCAATTTTCCGCAGTATGTCAATAACAATCGTGCTAAACTAGTTTCCATGAGAATGTGGATGAGTGATCATATGAAGTTTGAATGCATTATCTTCTCGAATAGGTGTCTGGTGCATAAAATAAACACTTGTTGTTCGCATTTCTGTATTCATATAAATTTCGACTGTGTCCAAAACTTAGCGTTCTGTCATAATGTTTGTTCAAGAGTTTCCATATATAGAGTATATAGAAACTGTCTAATTCTTCAGCATTTTTTCATAAACGTTGTTTGTTTTATTGTTGGAAACTATCTATTCTATGGAAGTGCTAATTTGCCACAGCTGCTAAATTCATGAGACAATTATAAATTCTACGAATCTTATCGAATGCTTCACAAAGTATTGAGTGCTTTTATAGATTTACCGCAATGCACGGATGCTTAAAGCACCGGCTAGAAATCTTTGAGGCGGGAAACTAAACTCATTGAGTTTATTCTAGTCGCAAGTGCTTTTTCGCGATGCTTTCTTGCTTGAATAAATCCGGAAAATCTTTTTAGATGGCTTGTGTATGAGCCTTTTTCGCAAAAAAATTTCATTCCCTCTTGACGGATTTTTCGCCTCCTAACTGTACCTGCAAGTTGGTTCGCACTTATATTTCGTCCTCATGGTTCTAGCTCATTGTTAGGTAAAGTGGAATTGATGACAGCGAATCAGTTCTTCTTTAATAAAGCAGGGATTTTTGTATAGGAAATCCAAGGACTTACAGATGAGGACGTGAGTAGATGGTGAAGATAAAGCATTTTGACTTATCAAAGTTTTCCAAGGTTGTCATTTTATTCCAGCTTTTTAAATGATGATAACAAGTTTTGTCAAATAATAATTTAATCCGTGGGATAGATTCTGCAATAAGCTGGCGTTTGCTAGCTGTTTATACTGGGAATCGCAAACAGTTCCAGGTGACTGAGCAAAATTTTTCTTAGGAGCCTGAAAGACACTCCTATTTTTTGTTCAGACATTGCCGAAGTTTTCATTCATTACTCGACGTTACATGCAGCTTCAGGATCGTCAAAGCAAAAATTGCAAAAGTGACTTATGACTGTTTACTTTATGTTGTCCAAGGAATCCAAACCGTGAAAGCAATATAGGGAAAAACGCTCATATTTCAGCCTTGCGTGACATCTAAACGCATTGTCATTTATTAGGCTGGAAACTAAGTTTTGCAACTGGTTTTATAACTTCACTTTCTTTGGATATGGCGCACTCAAACTTTGGCATCATGTAGAAGGCAATGTGAGCTACAAGTGAGCACAATTTGTTCAAATTTTGAACACGAAATAGAAAAGTTTCAGGCGTTTTTCGAAAACCAGTGAAATTTGAGAATTTTTGGGGTTCTAAGCTAAAATAAAGCCTTTGGCGCCTAGACCATGCGCAGTAATCCAGATTCGTCTATAAATTATTACTGGAGGTTGACTCCTTTGGTCTATTAAGAAAGAAACAAAATATAGGGGCATATCGAGATTTGGCGTCCTCATAAAGTCGAACGAGTCGATGTACGCAAGAGCCGCTGGGGACGACCGTCAATGACTAAAGAGTCCGAAGCTCAAATTCCGCCGAGACTTTACATAGTAAGGTTATTTGACCTGCCAAACGCGAATATCACATTTATTTGTCAAATCAACGCCTTTTTCCTTGTCTAGAGTGAGACCCCATATCGTACACCTACAGTAATCCTACAAAAAAGACCTTTTCACGCTATTTCACTATCGTTTTCGTAAGCAGCATGTCGGATAACACCTCTATGCTAATTTTCAGCCAAATCCGTCAAACTTTGAATTTTTCCCTTTCATACCATGCACCTACCGTAACCTTCACTGCGACGTCAGAATTTGGTAGGACAGCAGCTGCGCTTGTAGCTTACGTAATAACCAACGCAGTGACAAAATTTGAGTGCGCCATGTTGAGTGAGAGGGAAGTTATGAGACCAGTTGCAAAACTTAGTTTCCAACCTAATAATTATACCACCATGATATTGCACTTCGCTCCTTTTGAGATCAAGCGTGAAAGTTGCTAGGAATTTAGATACCAGGTTCACTAGGCAATAGAAGGTGCAGTAAATTTGGTCATGCAACAGAACTTAAGAACTTAGTTGGTCAAATCACTGGTATGCTGAGCATGCTCGAAAAAGCAAAAAGGTCCGGGCTACGTGCTAAACGTGGACTTTTGCAGATTATTCAATAAACTCATGTCCTCCAAAGTTTCCGGAACAATTGTTGATCATTTCGTGTTGCAGATTTCTCCTCCTGTTTGAGTTAAGTTTGAACTTTTGGTTTTTTAGACTTTTGAGCTATGTTGATGTTTCTTTACGTACACTACAATATTCATCGCAGCGTCTAGTGCAAAAGTCTTACGCATCTCAATAAGTATGAATCATTGCTAGGATGACGAAGACACACCTCAAACAGGAAGTCCCCTCTTCAGTGCAGAAAGCGAATGAGGTCAGTTTTTGATGACAGAGTTCCATGCCAGATAATCGCATGAGAGGGGCTGCGCTCCAATACTGCTTTACTGATTAGTGGCATTTCCGCTGGAGTGCATTTTCCCAGTATTTTTGCAATAATGAAGCAGTCATAATTTTTGTAGCTCGAATCTGAGTAATCTCACTAAGAAAATTCGAGAAAAATTACGGCAAGCGACACTGAGCAGAAGAGGTCCTACCTTTAGTTCGGTTGTCCTTATATTTATAATTAGTACAGCTCTCATTTGAAACGCTGACAACTGCTCATTGGCCCATCTATCTAAGCTAAGATAAAGAACTTACCTGGTCTCGTGGCTTGTTCAGCTTTGGTACCAATGCGAAAAAAGTTATGTCTCGAAACGTTTTTACTTGGTCGACCAAAGTTCTAAATAAAGTCAGATTACATAAATAGCTCACTCTACCGATGAGATAGAAGAGCACACAAAATGGGGTACAGACCGGGGTTAAGCGTGTAAAAATAGGTCCCACATAACTCAAAATAGAAAGACTTCGCCATCATTATCTACACTTATCAATCCCATTCGGCAATTATTATTTCGCGTTCATCGGGGTTCCTGTATGTAACTCCTCGAGTACTTCCTAGAAATAACTTTGTACTTATCCTCAACCTATTGGACCGAAAAAATTGGCCCAAAAACATAGTTATCCCTTTCGAAAATCCGTTTGACCTTAGCGCTCGTCAAGCGGGGTTGAGCGCCCGGGTAGTGTGGTATTGTTAGAGGCGACGCGATTCCTCGCGTGACAAAACCGGTAGGTTCCGTCGCTGTCGATCGTTCGCATAGTGGAAGAGGCGGAGGGGGGGGGGGGGAAGTCGGGTAGCGATCGAATAACTGCCATTTCTGTCGATGTTGCCATTTTCACGTACTATGTCGTTTTTCGACGACCTTCAGCATTTCATTGATTCACATTGACGTCGTTTGGGAGCAACAATGCGTGCGGTAATGGCAAACTTCTTTCGAGGAGGAATTTTGAGAACAACCAGAAGTTCTGTAAAGTAAACTTCTGATTTTTGTCAGCGTGGCCACAGCAGTGCAAATTGGACTACTGATTTGTCGTTACAATCTCGACGATAAGACTTTTGTAAATGGCAAACAGATTTTTCTTTTTTGCAACGGAAATTGTAGAATTTTTTGAGGACGTTAATACAAAGTCACTAAATTGTGCAAATATTTTCTAGATCAGCTTCCGACTCATAAAGATACAATGAAATATACCGGTCAAACATCAATAACCCGAGCTTGAAGTGAGTGGATAGACCATCTGATCATCTTACAAAATACCAAGGATAGCTTTTTGAAAAGTTCTAACCTTTTGCGAAGGGGTGGAATCAATGTGTTGCCCTCACCTTCTCTTTAGAAGTAGTTGTTTTCCTAAACTGGACCGACCATGACGGTACAACTTTTCAAAAAACAGATGTTATTGATGACGTTATGAAGTTTGCTAATGTTTGCCGTCTAACTTAGTTGATCGGCAGTAGAGGTTTTGTAATAATCAGCAGTATTATGAGAAACGAAGCATGCCCTCCGCTTTTTTTTCTAGTGAACAGACCAGCAATAATTTAGCCCTTAGACGGAGTGAATATTCATGTACATACTTTTTACTCCTAAACGAACTTACTTCTCAGTATTGAAAAAAAGTTTTACAGACCGTCCTTCCTCACTGAGGAGTTTCAGGGAAGGTCTGTGAATACTTTTACTCCACCTGAGTAGGAACGAAACGGAGCCTTTTGGCTATTTACACATTGTGAATTGAAAACTTTACTTCTTATTATTCACGTAATTAAAGGTGTATAAGTGATAGTAGCTGTGGTGGGAATTAGCAAATTATGTGAATGTTAAGGAGTGAAGAACTAGATTGTAGCTTGCATGATGAACCTCTACCGGTGCAAGT